AGCATACTTCGTGTAGCTAGGTATCTTTTTTCCTAAAAAAAGCATTATAGAAATATATAATATCAATACATTTACTATTTTAATTAATTAAAGAAATATCAAAACATATTTTTCTGAGAAGAAGTTGGAACTTAATGAGGAAATGATTAAATTAATGTTTAAGATGAAGGAATAAAAAAGGGAAATCTGACACAAATGAGACTCGAACTAGTGACGGGAGTTTTGGATTGTAGGAACACTACCAATAATGCTAGGGTGTTATTATTAATTATGTTTACAAACAAAACAATATAGATTTAGTGTGGGGCACGTGCCCCACCTTCTAACCACTTGGATCCGCCCCTGGATACAATTATTTAGTTAGTTTTGGTTTGATTTTGTTTTCTCCATTTAATAGTTAGGAAGTTTAAATCCAATAAACCTGCCATGTTTAACTGCAGTGGTAAGTAAAATTCAAACTTAAGCATGATCATTGTTTCGATTTGGTTTGACTATTGGTTGTTACACTAAATGTACATTTAAACATTTGTCCCATCAGAGCCGGTCCTGGACATAGCAGAGTGAAACATTTGCTATGTCCCATATTTTTTTTGAAATTTTTAAGCAAAACTTATTTACAAAATGGTTCCAATTTTATTTATTTTTACGATAATTGGTCCCAATAAATCTCCAAATTTTAAAAAATTTGGGAGCATCTGGCTTCCAAAATCTCTAAGGCTGGCCCATAAGGATCCTATGTACATCCCAACAAATTTTAAAGCCCATTTAAAATGAAAGGTCTCAATATAAGAAAGCCCATTAAATAACTTCCAATTTTCTCTCTCTCTCTCTCTCTCTCTCTCTCTCTCTCTCTCTCTCTCTCTTTCGTCTCTCCATTGCCGTCCTATTCCTCTGGTTCCTCGTAGTCTCTTTCGCTTTAAACCTCGCAAAGAACTTATCTTCGAGTGATTGATTACTGAATGATGCGAAGGCTCGTCTCCTGTTTTGTTCGTTGTAGACTCTCCTTGCATTTATCGACAACACCACAACAAAGGTCCACACTTTTCTCTCATCTGTTCAGTTCTCGTCTAGATTCTATTCAAATCGACAAAAAAATCTCATCTTTTTCTGGACATCGATTCTGTTCTACGACTTTGTTAGACCCAGAACTTGAAATTATCCGTAGAGAGAAAGTTTCCGAAGATCAATCACTGGTTTATTGCAATGAAAATGATATTAGAACAAAGGGTTCTAGTCATGCGGTTGGAATCTTACACGAAGCTATAATGGCGAATTTGAATGCGTATGATGATATGGAGAAAGCCCTTGATGATTCTGTTGTCGATTTGACAACTCCTGTGGTATGCAAGATCTTACAAAGGCTTCAATACGAGGAAAAGACGGCTTTTCGGTTCTTTACTTGGGCTGGACATCAAGAACATTACTCACATGAGCCTATTGCTTACAATGAGATGATTGATATATTGTCAAGTACGAAGTATAAGAATAAGCAGTTTAGGATTGTGATTGATATGCTTGATTACATGAAGAGAAACAAGAAAACCGTTGTTCCTGCGGATATTCTGTTGGAGATTCTGAGGAAGTATTGTGAGAGGTACTTGACTCATGTTCAGAAATTTGCCAAGAGGAAACGGATTAGAGTGAAGACGCAGCCGGAGATTAACGCTTTCAATATGCTTCTTGATGCTCTGTGTAAGTGTGGTTTGGTCAAGGAGGGTGAAGCTTTGCTTAGAAGGATGAGGCATAGAGTTAAACCTGATGCAACTACATTCAATGTCTTGTTCTTTGGGTGGTGTAGAGTGAGAGACCCTAAAAAGGCAATGAAGCTGCTTGAAGAGATGATCCAGGCTGGTCATAAACCGGAAAATTTCACTTATTGTGCTGCCATTGATACTTTTTGCCAAGCTGGAATGGTGGATGAGGCAGCTGATTTGTTTGAATTTATGATAACCAAAGGCTCTGTTGTTTCTGCTCCAACCGCAAAGACGTTTGCTTTAATGATTGTGGCATTGGCAAAGAATGATAAGGCAGAAGAATGTTTTGAGCTAATTGGGCGTATGATAAGCACGGGTTGCCTTCCTGATGTGTCGACATACAAGGATGTAATTGAAGGTATGTGTATGGCTGGAAAGGTTGAGGAAGCGTACAAGTTCTTGGATGAGATGAGCAATAAAGGTTACCCGCCTGATATAGTAACTTACAATTGCTTTCTTAGGGTACTGTGTGAGAATAGAAAGAGCGATGAAGCACTTAAACTTTATGGAAGAATGGTAGAGTCGCGTTGTGCTCCTAGCGTGCAAACATACAACATGCTGATATCTATGTTTTTCGAGATGGATGATCCCGATGGAGCATTCAATACATGGAAAGAAATGGACGAAAGAGACTGTGTTCAGGACATTGAAACCTACTGTGTTATGATCAATGGGCTTTTCGACTGTCACAGAGCTAAAGAGGCGTGTTTTCTACTGGAAGAGGTTGTGAACAAAGGACTCAAACTGCCATATCGAGCGTTTGACTCTTTCTTGATGCGTTTGTCTACTGTTGGTAACCTCAAGGCAATCCATAAGCTTTCTGAACATATGAAAAAGTTTTACAACCATAGTATGGCTAGGCGTTTTGCACTCAGTGAGAAGAGAAAAAGTACAAAACTCAGAGGGAAGTAATGGGAAGTGAGAATTGTTGGACCATATCATCATACTAAAACAAAGAACCATTCTCAGCAGTGCGATGGTTCTGTTGCCTCGAGAGGAGCTCTTTGTGATTATAATCCCTGGTGAAATTTCATCCATCAAAGTCCCCAATTCTGGACCAATAATCATGGTCTCCAAAGCAAAGAGACCTATCCAGGTCTGTTGTCAAATAGTTATGTTGATTTTTTTTAAAAAGCTCTCAGAGCGCACAATATGTTTAACATGTTCGTTTAAAGTCATTGGATTGACCATTGCGTACATAGAGCCGAACTTTGTATGATCCTTAGCAATGTGAAAGGCCTGTTTTCTTTATGGTTCATGACTATTCTGGTTTACCATCTGCTCTTGCTCTCTGATTCTCGAGTTTGATGTGAGTTTCTTGAAACATTATGATGCTAGAACAGCTTGGCTTCATCGTCCGGCTAAGATTAACGACGTTGCACCAGTTCTGGTAACAGGTTCAAGTCTCAAGAACTCTTGGTGAAGACTGAAGACATGACAGTTGGTATCTCAGCATTTAGTACCCGTCTATAGTTGAAAAATGAAAACCGGTCTGGTATATGTTATCGGTTTAGTGTAATCAGGATCCGGTTTAGTTGAAATGAGACATTTTTGAAGAAACAACTTAAGTTTAGTTATGATAGGTTCGAAAATCGAAACTGAAGAAGGCTTCTCTCCTAACTACCAATAGAACAAACTGAAAGTTGGTTATGGCTTCTTTCCCAACTAACTCTCTGTTTTATTTTATTTTCCTACTAAACTTTACCAGCTATTATTTTGGTTTTCGCTTAAAGAAAATAAACAGAAACTAATAGAAGAACTGTTCTAATTTATCCCACGGAACATTCAATGTAACTGATTCTGTTTTTAGTCCTCAATGTACGAAACCTATAAAGTTCCGTTTTGGACAAGAGAGAAACTAATGACGTCCTTGGAGACCAAATATTTGACCACCTTTGTATTTTTTACGACTAAATGTTTGACCACATCAGAATTAATAAAAATTGCTAATAGTAAAATTGCTAAGAGAGTTAATAAAAATTGCTAATAGTTAGTCCACTTATAGTTGAAAGAGAGATAAAAAAAGGTTTTTTCAGAAAAAAAAAAAAAGTGAAATAAAGAATGATATATTTATTATCTATTTTTATTTTTACTACTACTAATGAAAAAAAAAAGAATATATTTGTCCGATGATGCTTAGCCTAGTCAGTTCGATCAAGTTAGTTGTTAATGTTTTGGTGTTAAAAAGCTGAATTAACTTGCTGAAAATAGTTAGTTGTATTGTCTCCACGTTGGCCGATATATTCTGAATTAAGGCTTAGAGAAAACGTACGTTGATTAGGTCTGAAAGATATCAAAAACCTATCCAACAATATGACCTGCCATTTAACCAGAGAAGTCCACAACATAGGTACCAAACTCTCTCCTTTTCCTCGTGTTCTTTTTTTTTTTTTTTTCAAAGTTCTCTCTAAACAATTAATCAGCATTACCAATTAACTACCAAAGGCAATATAGTTGGAATCCACATATAATGGAATAATAACAAATATCTCATGATCCATCTAAAGTAATGAGTATAGAAATTGCCCATGATATTTTTGTTATTAATTAACTTTAAGCATATGGAGAAGTTTATTTATGAGGAACAACATAAAAAAAAATTAAAATTCTAGAGAAAATATCACAAACTAATTTCATGAGAAATATCATAATTTAAGTTTTTCTTTTAATCTAATATAGCAAAGTTAAGTAGTTTCGTTATACAATCTAAGTATGATACTTGTGTCTTGTAATGTTTAATATTAGAAAGAAAAATTATAATGAAAAAAATCTATATATATATGTGCATAAAATGATAGAAATATTTATTAGTTCTTATAAAAAAATTCTAAAAACAGCAATAATTCACAAATTTAATTAGGATATTGAAATTTATTTTATTATATGTAAATACGTAGCTTGCCAAAGAGTACACAAACGTAGATGAGTATTGGTGGCTTGAAGTAGCCGGTGTAGGTTAGAACTTAGAAACAAACCTTAAATTAATAATTTAACTATACGAAGGGACGTGGAGAGGTTAACGAAATTTAATTAGCTCACACAAAGCAATCTCTACCCATATATCTAAAATCAATATTCCATAAATATTAGTATATGAACTAATTAAGATCCAAGAAAATAAAGAAAAGAAAAGGTAGATTACTTAGAAGAGGGGTGTTGTGTTTGGTTAGGGAAGACGTTGGCATCAGTCGCCGGTAGAGAGGTCCGTCCAAACCCTCTCGACTCCCTAACGGATTTTATTTAGTTTATTTTTCTTCATATACATAAAATGTATATTATATACTCTCAATAATATATATATATATATATACGTGCAGGTACTCTTCAGCTTTCTTCTTGTTCCCACATACCCATCTTCCCCAACCTTTCCCCAAGAAAAAAACTTAGGGTTTTAAATTCTATTTTACACATAAAATAAACACACCAAAATATTTGCGTACGTTATTGTCTTATTGATATAGAATCTAGGTGTCTGTTTCTTTTTCTTTGTTCTTGTATTGGTTTGGATCGGTATACTTAGTTATTACGTAATTAGATAGATCGGCGTGAAGAAGAAAATGATCATGTGCAGCCGAGGCCATTGGAGACCAGCTGAAGACGAGAAGCTCAAGGATCTTGTCGAACAATACGGTCCTCATAATTGGAACGCCATAGCTCTCAAGCTCCCTGGTCGATCTGGTAATTAATATCTTCTAGGGTTGGTCGTCCATATATATATACAAAACTAGCTAGGGTTTGATACCCGTTTTGATACTTTGATATACATATGAATTAATTGTGTTGATATATGCAGGTAAGAGTTGTAGATTGAGGTGGTTTAATCAATTGGATCCAAGGATAAACCGAAACCCTTTCACGGAAGAAGAAGAAGAAAGACTTTTAGCGGCTCATCGGATCCATGGGAACAGATGGTCCATCATCGCAAGGCTTTTCCCTGGAAGAACTGATAACGCCGTCAAGAACCATTGGCACGTCATCATGGCTCGTCGCACACGTCAAACCTCTAAGCCTCGTCTTCTACCCTCGACGACTTCGTCTTCTTCTTTAATGGCGAGTGAACAAATCATGATGAGTTCTGGTGGTTATGATCGTAATTATAGTTCCGGTGATAGGAAGAAAATATTACCAGCAGACGTTATAAATTTCCCTTACCAGTTCTCTCATATCAATCATCTTCAGTTCCTAAAGGAGTTTTTCACCGGAAAGATCGCTTTAAATCACAAAGGTAAACTCAATATGATGGAGAAGGAATCTATTTTCTATAGATGTGTTTGCATGTATATGAGTCTTGCACGGATTATTGATGAAAAAGTATATGTTCCAGAATTTTTACATGAAGTTTAGCCGACTTTTTATTTTTCAAAGAGTTTAGCCGACTTTTTCATTGCATATATAATCATTTATCTGATAGATTTCAATTAAAGTTTCATGTCTTTCTTGCAGTCATCATCATATATTGTTTTCGTCATTACATTAAATCATCTCTATATCTTTTAAACATTTTATAGTTGCAATCGACATATATAGCTTAATTATAATTAATATTGTCCTTCTTTTATCGTTTGGATCGCAGCAAACGAGAGTAAAAAGCCTATGGAGTTCTACAATTTTCTACAAGTAAACACGGATTCAAACAAGCGCGAGACTATAGATCAAGATTCGGGTCAAAGCAAACCCAGTAACTCGGGCACCAAAAATGAAAGTCATGTTCCCTTCTTCGACTTTTTGTCTGTTGGAAACTCTGCCTCCTAGGATTAGCTTCTTTGCAGACTATAAACCCTAAATTGTTAGCTTAACTATTTAGTCCGTATACGTACGGGACTCTAGATCGTTAGCATGTATGCTTGATGTGTAAAATCACTAACTAGTGAGCTCTTACCTGAGAAAAATGTAAGAAAATTGTGAGAAAAAAACCTAATGTTGATGTATACCCATATATACTAGTATCACACATTCTCAATGTCTGTATTTCCATCGAGTTGTTAATAACAACTTGTTATCTATCAAAGTTATCCGTATGTTGGAATCTATTTGTATAATTTTGTCTTGTATTTGATGAATAACATGTTTAAATGTTTAATTCCGTGACCAAAAAATTAATCATACACATTATGCATGTAGCTAGTTCTTATATGGCGGTATTCTTTAGTTTGGAAAAAAAAAAAAATTCTAAAAGAAACGAACGAAAGATGTCGTGTAAGTTTGTAACAAAGACTTTTAACAAAAACAAAGTTTGTAACAAGATATACAAGTACATATACATCTGCGGACTAATCAAATATATCGCTTAGAGCATGTGCATTGGTAAGTCTCTCACCAAAATCTCTCGCTTACAAAAAAATATTAAAATTATTTTCAAGGTTTTTATGTTTTGTTTTGTTTGGCATTAAAATTAAAAGAGGCAAGAAGGCCTTAGTTGTTATAAAAGCCCAATCCTTGTAGTTATTATCAAATTGAAGCCAATAAAAGATAAGAAAGCCCAACGATGGAAGTAGCCCAAAATGAGAAAAGTGTAACAGTGGATCGCCGGAGATGATGAACGAAGAAGAAGAAGAAGAAGAAGCAGATCAGACACGGGTTCTCCGCTCTGAAAGCTGATATACGATTCGGGATTTGTGCTCTCAACCATGCGAGTGATCGAGTCAATGTCCCTATGAGAGTGACGATACAATCTGTTATTGCCCTCCTTCCAGATCTCATAAGAGTAAAAAATAACGCTTCCGATCATCGTCTTCCTCTTCCGAGTGACGATTCAAATCAAAGCCGAGATTGAAAGAAACCGCCATAGACAATGGCGACTAAGGCAGCTTCGTCTTCCAGCCTCCCCAAATCTGGAGCCATTTCCAAAGGCTACAATTTCGCTTCTACTTGGGAACAGGTAATCGTACAATCTGAGCTCGGCTTTGATCCAGGAAGATCCATTGATGAGTCTAGTGTCCAGTGTGCCTGGATCTGAATGATGCTCTGTTTGTTGAGAATATACTGAATTGTAATTCCCGTTGCAGAGCGCTCCTTTGACAGAGCAGCAACAAGCAGCTATTGTTTCTCTATCCCACGCAGTCGCTGAGCGGCCCTTTCCTGCCAATCTTGTGAGTCTGAGGTTTTCAGTTTTGGATTTTGTTGAGAATGTTTTCCGTTTTTTTTGTGGTTTGATGTCAGTGTTAGTTCATGGTTATAGGTACATGAGCATGTTCACAGGCCCGAGAATGGCTTGTCTGTCTCAGTAGAGGACACACATTTGGGAGATTCTGGAGCAATTGAAGCTGTTTTGGTTAATACCAATCAGGTAATCTCTTGTCCTGCAACTTAATTTTCCAAAGATCTGTGACGTCTGTCGAGAAAGACCATGCTTAGTTGATTTGCAGTACTATAGGAGTTGCTTTTGTATTTGTGAGCATCTCTTTTTCTTGCATCTTTACATGTGTACTAATGTGTCTTTATTTCGATATATGTTGGTTTTATTACAGTTCTACAAATGGTTTACTGATCTTGAATCAGCGATGAAGTCTGAGGTTAGTGATAGTCATGTTGTTCCTTGGTTAAAAGTTGGAAAAGATTACTTGAAATTTGTCTAAATGATTTTCTCTTTTCTGATTTAGACAGAGGAAAAGTATCGGCACTATGTCAACACTTTAACTGAGCGCATCCAGACATGTGATGATATACTCCACCAGGCAGGTTTTCACCAAGTTATATACAATGCTGTGGTCTTACCTTGCCAACAAATTATAACACGTCTGCTTCATTATTGACCTTAGGATTTCTCCTGCGCAGGTTGATGAAACACTTGACCTATTTAATGAACTGCAGCTTCAACATCAAGGAGTAACAACAAAGACTAAAACTCTTCATGATGCATGTGACCGACTGGTATTCTTTTCTATTAATCTCTTGCATGTTTTTCCATCCTACCTGCTATACATAATCGAAATGACAAACGAAAGATGCTTAATGAATCATGGCTGATCAAGAGTTTTCTGCTATTTGATTGTTGTAGTTTGCTTGCCTGAGCTAATTTTCACTTTCTTCCACCTTTCTAGTTAATGGAGAAGCAGAAATTGATGGAGTTTGCAGAAGCTCTAAGGAGTAAGCTCAACTATTTTGATGAATTGGAGAATGTAAGATTTACATTCTGGCCTACCTACATAATTTTTGACACATGTTACAGTATCAGCGTGTAGTTGCTTCGGATGGTGCTCTTGTTTTATTCATTAACGTAATCTATTTGAATTTTGGCCTACTTGTGGTACTTAGTTCATAGTACTTTACTGAAGGCTGGTTGTAGATTTAAGAGAAAATATCTCAACAAGGTGTTAAACTGCTCTAATATCTCCTTCTTTTTTCGCAGATATCGTCTAATTTTTATTCACCAAATATGAATGTGTCAAACTCAAACTTTCTCCCACTACTGAAACGTCTGGATGAGTGCATATCGTGAGTAAATTGGTGTTGAATTCAATATTATGAAATTTACATCCACTACTTGGCAATTTTCTATAAGAATGCCGCACTAATTCTTCCATTTCCCTTGAAGTGATTGAAATATGTCTCTTTTACCTTGAATTCTGTAGGTACATCGAAGATAATCCTCAATATGCAGAGTCAAGTGTTTATTTGCTCAAATTTCGTCAGCTCCAGGTACTACGAAGAGCCCCTCCTGTCTCTTTCTCTGTGTCTCTCACTAAGAGACGCGTGGGTCACAGTTCATACGCATGCACAAACTCATATATTGTTTCCAGAATTTGTAGTGGAGATTATTATATTGTAATTTGTTATAGAATGTACTAATATTTATATATTTTACAGTCGCGGGCCTTGGGCATGATTCGAACTTACATTCTTGCAGTGCTTAAAACGGCTGCTTCTCAGGTAATTTTTCTTTCTAATATGCATGTATTCTTGCACAGCTTACAAGAAGCATGTATATAGTTCTTGTAACTGTGTATATTTCATATATTGCATATCTTTATGCATGTAATCTATGCAGGTAGAGTGAATTGTTAGGTAAGGTTATACCTAGTTTCCCTAAGACATACAAATTGATTCCATTGTCAGGTTCAGGCAGCATTTCGTGGGACAGGTGGAAACAAAACATCTGTCTCGGAGGGTGTCGAGGCATCTGTTATATATGTTCGCTTCAAGGCTGCTGCAAATGAGGTGATACATTTTGATTTTCTTCCCATGTTAGTGCAGATATGCTAGGGTCACAATATTAGATAAGAGAACAATGAAAATGAGCTTTTGTAGCATTATTCGATGTCAGTTTTGCGAGTTTGTTTTTGAGATTATGCATGGCGATATTTTATATCTTATGACATTAAACATCGAAAAATTATTGGTCCAGCTTAAACCTGTATTGGAGGAGATTGAGAGTAGGTCAGCAAGAAAGGAATATGTTCAAATCCTTGCAGAATGCCACAGACTATACTGTGAACAACGGCTCTCGCTTGTGAGCTCATTTTCTGGACTACACTTTGGTTTAGTTTTCTCTCTGCAAGTAACTAGACTCACCTGTTTACTGTTCATTTCACATTATCAGGTCAAAGGCATAGTACACCAACGAGTATCTGATTTTGCCAAGAAAGAGGCACTGCCATCGTTGACTAGATCGGGTTGTGCATATCTGATGCAGGTATTTGAAGGAAAATAAAGGGACGAATACCTTGCTTTACTCATGAGGGTTAATAGGAGCTATATCAGTTTAGTAGAATTGGACACCATTATAAGGGATAGAAACATATAGAAAAATGAGAATGTTAATATAGTTGATAATCTGTGCGACTTCAAAGGTAAGACGAAGGTCTTTTTGAGAGAGACAATGGCTGGATTATCAGCTTTAGCAACTGAGGATAATGGGCTTGGTTTTGCAGAACATGAAATTTCTGCACCACATGTCTTAACCTCCATTATGAATTTCAGGTTTGTCATATGGAGCATCAACTGTTTACTCATTTCTTTCCAGCATCATCAGAAGAAGTTTCGAGTCTGGCACCTTTAGTGGATCCTTTGTAAGTTTTTCTATGCCATGCTGTCTATGTTCTTTGAATCTGATTATGACTTCTTAAAAGCTTAGAGAAATGAGTAAGCATAAGTGATGTTTTGAATTTGGAGCAAATATGAACTTTTATGGCTAGTATCTTCCGAAATGATTTTGTTTGTTATATCTGATGTGAAACTTCCAGTAAACTGTAGTTGTTGTAATCGGTGAATCCATTACATTGTAGTCAACTTTCTTTGAATCTGAATATGACTTCTTAAAAGTGTGTGATTCAGAAAATATGAGTAAGTGATCAAAATTGTTTTCGGTTGATATATCTTATGCGGTGCATCCAATTGATCACATTTGCTTGTTCCTGAACAGGTCTACGTACTTGTATGACATTTTACGCCCAAAACTGATTCACGAAGCAAATATTGATCTTCTATGTGAGCTCGTTCATATCCTTAAAGTTGAAGTCTTGGGGGACCAGTCAGCTAGACAGAGTGAACCACTGGCCGGACTGAGGCCTACATTACAAAGAATTTTGGCCGATGTAAATGAGAGATTGACTTTCCGTGCCAGAACATATATTCGAGATGAGGTGTCGTATTTAAGTTTTCCTACAAGTTCTTTACCTTGCCTTTACTTCCATATGTGTGGTCTTTTCATCTGCGATTATGTAGAAACAGTTAACTTTGTATGTTGTCACCACTAAGACGATTCACCTTACTATACTAATAAGATGCAATTGTATTATTACTGTGATACTGAATGACTTTTAAGTGGAGAAATTTACTAGTTTCGGCTATGTCATCCTGTTTAGCCTCAAAGGATTTTGCAAGTATTAGTTGCTCTGTTTGAAGATCCTTCTTACTTCTGCAGATTGCAAATTATATCCCCTCTGATGAAGATCTGGATTATCCTGCAAAGCTGGAAGGATCTCCTAATACAATATCTGAAACTGATCTCGGGGTAGAATGAAATTCTCAAATTAGTTCTATGGTTTTGGTAATCTTTAGCTGTAGCCTGTATACTTATATTCTGAGTTTGCAGGATGATGAAAACGCTGATGTGTTTAAGACTTGGTATCCACCTCTGGAAAAGACTCTCTCTTGTCTATCTAAATTATATCGTTGCTTGGAGCCTGCCGTCTTCACTGGACTAGCACAGGCAAGACTATCAGTAACTTTATTGCTTCCATTCTGTCAAAAGATACCAGTTCATGTTTAGGACAACTTGCTTAACAAACCTTCTCTTTTGTTCTACAGGAAGCTGTAGAAGTTTGCTCACTCTCAATTCAAGTAAGCGAGCTAGAAAACCAGATTTTCCTCGCCTTGATTTTTGTTCACGTTTCAGTTATCCTTATTCTCAATGGCATTATCAATTTTAATTACACGAAGATGTGCCATTTCTATTAAAGATTTTTATGTTGTTTTTGTTTAATTACCGAGCTTTTACATCTGCTCGACCTGTACCATAGTTGAGATGTCCACATTATTTTGTCAAATATGTAACAGAAAGCGAGCAAGCTTATCATTAAGCGATCAACTACAATGGATGGACAGCTTTTCCTTATCAAGCATCTCCTTATCTTGAGAGAACAGGTTATGGCTGATCTATCTTAAGATTGCTTCTTTTGCTAAATAATTCAATGATTTTAAACAATATTTATATTTTCCAGATTGCCCCTTTTGACATAGAATTTTCAGTCACCCACAAAGAGCTTGATTTCTCTCATTTACTGGTTAGTTCCTCGACATTCAAGTCTACTTCGTATGATAGTCTAATTTTTTCTTTATCTTTAAAAGGTGCTTATCTTTATGCAGATTTCAGATGTTTTTCCTCCTTCAGTTTCTTTCTTTGTTGATGACTTTGCTAACTTTCTCCAATAATTCATGTAAAAAATGTGATTAGGAACACTTGAGGAGGATACTTAGAGGTCAAGCGTCACTTTTTGACTGGTCTAGGTCAACCTCTCTAGCAAGGACCCTGTCACCTAGAGTTTTGGAGAGTCAAATAGATGCCAAGAAGGTTGGTGATTTTTCTCTTCCTTCCACTATCATTTGCAGATATGCTTCATATTTACATAAAAGTTTGCCACTAAGATGTGTTGATTTTATTTTACAATTTTCTGTGAGACTGATGTACCAGTATTGGTGAAAGATTAAAAATTTAGTTTCGGTCTGGGTTATATTTTTGCCATGCTAGTAGGCTCAAAAGATATGGCAAGTTGTTGGTTGTATCTGGCTTACCTGGACATCTCTTTGATGCTGGATCCTTGCATTACTTACTATGAATGGGAATGATGCATAGACCTTTATTTTCGCAGGAACTGGAAAAATGTCTTAAAACAACTTGTGAGGAGTTCATCATGTCAGTAACTAAGCTAGTTGTGGATCCTATGCTCTCATTTGTGACCAAGGTGGGTTGCTCCTTCACCTTTTATCTGGAAAAATGTTTTTCAAAGTTTTGTTAAGATTCTAGATGTCCTCGAAAAAGTTTAAGTCAGCATCTTTTACACTGTCTGGTTTTAAGTTGTGTCGATGACACATCTATCTATCTAATACACTGTACTGATAATGAGAAGAAAGGATCTATCTTGTCCAAAGAATTTGCTCTCCTAATGGAATAGCGTAATAGTTTTGCTATGTTTACACATTGTCTACTTATATGCAGGTCACAGCCATAAAAGTTGCTCTTTCCTCCGGAACTCAGAATCAAAAAGTTGATTCTGTCATGTCTAAGCCGCTGAAGGAACAAGCTTTCGCGACACCAGAAAAGGTGGCTGAACTTGTTCAAAAGGTATGAGATAGATAATGTACTGTTTGAGTTTTTTCTTTTTCTTCACGATATATCTCAGAAATAGAGATGGCAGCTATTTCTTGTCCCTATTAAGCTCTGAAGGATGCAGCTTCCCTTACTGAGCAATGATATTGAAAACTCTGTTCATAGGCAGTTCTTTAGCCTTCAAGTGGTAACGAATATAGATGTCAATGATACCTTGAACATGCATTTGTGGTTCCTAATAAGCTTATGCTCTTACAGTGATTGATTCAATGTGAAAAGAGAGAATCAGTGTAGATCATATATATATAACCCGCAATGGTTTTTTGCATATTTAAGCTTTAATTACCGTCATAACTCAGAATGCAAAACCACATCTCTCCTCCACACATAGGGGTAGGCTGATTTGTATTTCATGTATTTCAACCAGGTATACGCTGCAATACAGCAAGAGTTGCTTCCGATTTTAGCAAAAATGAAACTCTATTTGCAAAACCCATCAACAAGGACCATACTTTTCAAGCCGATCAAGTAAGTCCATTTCTCTGCAACTTTACCAACCATGTAAATGATCTTTGGCTGGTTTCATATTTGCTTGTTCTAATCCCTTATGTTTGAAACCAAATCTCTTGCTAGTTTAAATAATGAATAATGATCCTATGTATATGTTTTTTCTATTCAGGACAAATATTGTGGAAGCTCATACACAAGTGGAGTCTTTGCTCAAAGCCGAGTACTCAGCTGAAGAACAAGCCAATATCAATATGATCTCCATTCAGGATTTGCAAACCCAGCTTGACAATTTCCTTTAAGATTTATATCAATCGATGTTTTTGATGTCCGTACTTCCTCGGTTTATATCTTATATAAAGACTACTTTTAGCTACTTTACAAGAGTTCGCTTTAGAAGATAATACATATTATTTTGTATCCAAGAACTCATACATCTTGGTCTCTCTACATTCGACCTATTTACGGTCAAAAAGTGTAGATCATATGCTTAATATATAAGACTAGCTGTCAAGTTCTGTTTTGGTTTCTTTCTTGCTTGCATCATCGATGAATGGTATTTGAATTCTTAAAATCAATTCTTGCTTCACCTCTGTCAAGAGTCAAGACATATATAAAAAGATGCAAATATACATCATCAATGTTAAGTAATTGGGATTATATATTACCATGGCATGATGATGATAATCTCATGTGCCATACTGCCGTATAGAAGTAAATGTTTTTTTAAATATTTTTTAAACATGACTAAAAGAGAGATTCGGACCCGACTTTAGGAGACCACTTTTTGTAAGATTTACAATATTTTTGAATTGATTTTTAGTTTTTAAATGTATCAATTCTTAAGCAATTTTGATTAAACCGCTAATCATATGATAATTTGATCTAGTAGAAATGATTTGTCTAATATTGGTTACTAGTGTACTAACCCGTGCGTTGCACGAGATAAGAGATGCGAAGTGGTGATATCAAGATCGTGGAGGAGGCGAAGACGTTGTAAAAAGAGGATTATTTGTTTTCTTTCGTGTATTTTTCTTTAATTAAAAAAATAAAGTTTAATTATTTTAAATAGTGAAAGTGGAAAATTTGGGACTTAATCCAGATGGATAGAATTGCAGTTAATAGTAAAATGACTTGTGAATTATTAGATAAAGATTCACTTATAGAGTTATAGTAGTGAGTGAATGGAAAAAAATGAAGAAAAAGTATAATATTATTTTTCACGTTTTTGTTAAATGGGTACCAAAAAAAGCTCTGTTTTGGCTTTGTTATATGTATAGTTTAAAAAAAGATTGATTCCCTTGAAACAAAAATTCGTCTAATAAATAACGAAATTTTTTAAAAGAAGCAATGCGAATCCGAATCTTTGGATTTTAGCAATATCATTAAGTAGAACACAATTTTTGCATTATATACATACACTCTACCATATAAATTGTAAAGAAGCGACATCTGTAAATTGAAAAGAAAGAACCCTAATTTTTAAATTTAGGAATTTTTATTTTTTAGTTTACCAGTGAATGTTCGAAATCATTACAATCCATTGAAACCTCAACGTGCGTGGCTTCTCCTTCGCTTCTTCGTTTGATCTGTGATTTTAAAGCGCATTTTCTCCTTCGCCATAGCAGAAGTTTCAATTCTCCTTGGATCCACTTCCACGTCTTTTTTTTCTCCGGATCTTCAGCTCTTTACGTGTTTGGAGCATGATTCCTGAGGATTTTTAGAGGTTTTAAGCGCTTATTGGAGTTCGTATGAGCACACGTGAGTCTTGTCTGCCTGAAACATCTTCTCTTGGCTTGTTTCATGTGACTGAAAATATTGGTTATGGGTAGATTTTGATTCTCCAAATTGTTTTGGGTTAAGAGTGTTTTGCGTATCAGACAACATCTCAACAGACAAAAAGATTTTATCTTTTCTCTTGGTTACAGGATTGGTTAAAGCATATTGTAAATGACGGACCAAAGCTCTGTTGATGGGATTTTAGAGTTTCTTAGGAATAATCGTTTCTCTCAAGCTGAGGAAGCTTTGCGTCATGAGCTTAGTAACCGGTCTGACATTAATGGCTTTCTTCAGAAACTTAAGCTTGAGGATAAAGATTCAAATGAAAAGGAACTTCGCAGGTCAGGTTCTCGAGATAGTGAAGTCTCCAAGGAGCTGATTGTGAAAGAGGTAGACTGTGGGACTAGCACCAATGGGTCTGTTATCAAGTGGGAAAATGGTCCGGCTGCTGACAAACCGAGCAAGAAGGAAACGGTTGTATCAACTGAGATGAGCTTCACATTCTCCAAAAATTCGGGTGATGCTGCTGCTCTTGATGCGCATTCCTATAAATTTACTTCCGGAAATGGTACCTTGGAGCCTTATCGAAACATTGATGATAATAGTAGTAGTTTGGTGGATTCTTACGCATTCGAACAGTCGAGGCATGGGAATTTGGCTGATATCGATAAGAAGATAGTGGAAACTGGTGAAGATATCGTGTTCTTTGGCAATAAGAGTACTTTATGGTCTGGAAATTCTACTAAACGGAATTCCGGGTCCAAAATAATGGAGACAAATGAGATGGATCGGCTAGTTGAAAATTCTGGAAAGCATGACAGCTATAAGGGTAGCATTCTTTTAAGAACTGAAGATGTCGTAGCTACCTCAGAGAACTGGAAAGAGTGTTCTGTTGATACTCTTTTTCAATCTTCCAGAGGAGATGCGTCAACCAGTTACAATCTGGTTAGCAGCTCGAACAAAAGAGAGGGAAAGAAAAAGGCAGACATTAGTGATGTGAGGGTAGCAATCAAGGAGCAAGAGAGCGAGGTGGCAAGAGCTTTATTCTTTGGTAAATCTCAATCTACTTTTGATGACAAAAACATCAGCAGCTTAGGTTTTCCACTTGTCTATGATACCCGCAAGGAAGAGTTTCCTAGGCTGCCTCCTGTTAAGCTCAAGTCTGAGGACAATCCTCTAAGTCTTTACTGTGAAGAAAAATTTGAACGTGATGGTTCAGGTCCAAGGCTGATCAATGATGAGGAGGCCCTTCTCATAGGCTCATACCTTGATGTTCCCATTGGACAAGAAATTAGCTCATCAGGTTAGATTGCATGACAATGCAGCCGTACAACTTCTAAGTTTTCATTCTGACTGCTGAATAATGGTTGTTTGAAATGATTTTCCTCTTCCAGATGGACTTCTAAAGACATGCATTTTTCTCTTATCTTTCATTCTTATAGGAACTACTGTGGTTATCACATTGTTACTAGCTACATTTTTTTCTCCGCGAATCTGCAAGTAACATGTTTTAATTTGATGAATGCATACATTAGAACAATGCATTGAGAAGTTACTGGCATCAGTTCCAAAGAAAGCAAGTAATAATGGTTTAGATTTCTTCCTTTCCCATTCTGCTTTCTATAAGGACCATGTCGCTTCACTTTTTACTTTTTTAGTTTAACCTTAATCTTATCAATTTTACTTCAGGTGTGAATGTAAGTTATAATCTCGTAATGATCTCATATAGGTGGAAAAAAATCTGGTGGGGGAAACTGGCTTTCAGTAAGTCAGGGAATAGCAGATCTTGTTTCTGGTTTTGCTACTATTGGTGATGGTTTAAGTGAATCTGTTGACTACCGTAATGAATACTGGGACTCTGACGAGTATGAGGATGATGACGACATTGGGTATGTCAGGCAACCTATTGAAGATGAAACATGGTTTCTTGCCCACGAAATTGATTATCCAAGTGATCATGAGAAAGGTACGACCCGCGGAAGTCCTGATCATCATGAAAGAGATGCAAACAAAGACGAGGATGATCAGTCTTATGCAGAGGATGCATCTTATTTATCTGGTGAACAGTATCTCCAATCAAAAGATGCTGAACCTATTTCTTCAGAAAATGACAGAAGACTTACGGTCTCAGAAATATATCCAGCTAGTAAGAAAAATGATTTACTAGCCCAATATGATGGGCAATTAATGGATGAGGAGTTGCTCAATTCAATGCGGATCGAGCCTGTTTGGCAGGGGTTTGTGGCTCAGTCAAATGAACTTGTAATGAAAGGCATAAATGTCCATCGAAAATCTCATCTTGATGATGTTTACGTCGAAGATGATCAACATGATTCAGTCAGGTCAATTGGTGTGGGTATTAGTAGTGATGCAGCTGATTTTGGCAGTGAAGTACGTGAAAGTTTGGCTGGAGGTAGCAGTGAGGGAGATTTTGAGTACTCGCGTGATCATGATCCTGTAGCATCCAGGTTTAAACAGCTTTACTCCGAGTCAGATAAGAAACATATTGATGGCCCAAACAAGAATAAACAAAAAGCAAGTAAAAATGATTCAGGCGGAAGTTTTCATGTGAAGATTCAAACTGATGGTGGTTTTTCGTTTGGCTCGTCACAAAAAGATGGGCAGTTAATGCATGCAGAATCTAGTAAATCATTATGGTCAGGCACTCGTGAAACGGTAACCAGAGATAGAAACAGCGAACGTTTAAGTGCTTCAACAGCTACAGATGATATGGTTGCAACTTGGAGACAAAAAAGTAGTGATTCATCAAGTTCTCGAAGTTCTTTGAATGAAAATAATGCAACGTCCCTAAAATCTGTAAAATCATCTCCCTCTTCTCTGTCAAATTATGCTCGCGAAGAAAGAAAGCATGCTGATAAAGAAAATGATAGCAGTGAAAAAGAGGATGACCATGCGACAGCACTTGATGATGAAGAGGCAGTGGCTGTCCAAGAGCAAGTTAGACAAATTAAGGCCCAAGAGGAGGAGTTTGAAACCTTTGACCTCAAAATTGTGCATCGAAAAAACAGGTAAGATTTCTCCCTAACTCTTATGTTTTAAATTACAACAGTAATCGCTTTATTTCTTGTTTAGGAGAGCTACACATGATGTTTTTTTTTTGTCTCTGATTGTTGCTTTTCAACCTAGAAACATCATTTTAAGTAAAACTGTGAATAGCATATTTAATTGAACTAACTACATTCCTTCTGCTTTGTATTGATCAGGTCCAATTTTGAGAAAATATTTTAAGTTGATATGTTTTACTGTAATTACCTAGGATAAGTATATTCGTTTGAAAAGTTAGACCAAAATACTAGTTAAAAAATTTCGTCATCGTCTTAATTTTATACTTTTATTTATAGCTGAGAGTGCTGCTCTCTTATTACTTATTTGATATTGGTCAGGACTGGTTTCGAAGAGGAAAAGAACTTTAACGTGGTTTTAAATTCGGTCATTGCTGGGCGGTACCATGTCACTGAGTACCTTGGATCAGCAGCCTTCAGTAAAGCCATACAAGCGCATGACTTACAGACAGGAATGGACGTCTGTATAAAGATTATAAAGAACAACAAAGACTTCTTTGACCAAAGTCTTGACGAGATAAAACTTTTGAAGTATGTCAACAAGCATGATCCTGCTGACAAATACCATCTTCTACGGTTGTATGATTACTTTTACTATCGGGTAAGTGATCACATCCCTTTTGCAAAATTTGATAGTATATCAATAGGGACCAAGTGGTAACTTTAGGGGAGGTAGAAACCACTTAATCAGGTAAAAATTGCTAAGAAGCTGCGGTATTAACTTCTAAAAGGTCTCACATATGCCAATTTATTGAAATATAAAAGGGGTCATGGAAAACCAAGTAGGTTTGCAGTAGATCTCTTTGTGGATTGTTTGGTGTGATGGAATCTCCATGACTGTTTTTTGCAGGAGCACTTGCTCATTGTATGTGAACTTCTTAAGGCCAATCTATACGAATTCCACAAATTTAACAGAGAATCAGGTGGTGAAGTTTATTTCACGATGCCAAGGTTGCAGGTTTGTCCACTTCATCATTACCGTTCATCATAGATACGTATATATATATCCGATTCCTAATCTCTTTGGGACCGTTTTTGTACAGTCAATCACTATCCAGTGTCTCGAATCACTTCAGTTTCTGCATGGCCTTGGACTTATACACTGTGATTTGAAGCCTGAGAATATATTGGTGAAAAGCTATAGCAGATGTGAAATAAAAGTCATTGACCTTGGAAGTAGCTGTTTCGAGACAGATCACCTTTGCTCCTATGTCCAGTCAAGGTCATATCGAGCACCAGAAGTCATTTTGGGACTTCCTTATGATAAAAAGATAGATGTGTGGTCTCTTGGGTGCATTTTAGCTGAACTCTGTACAAGCAACGTAAGTCCTGCATTTCCATTGACTTGGTGCATTTCTGATGTCATTGCTTCATCATATTATTTTTTCTCATGCAAAATACATTCCGAAGAGAGACAAAATTTGCATATCTATACTCCGCATAAATTTGTTTTATTACATGGGAGCTTGTTTCTCGGGCTATTAAATAAACAAAATTTGCCAGAAACTTGTGTCATTTATAATAACAGTAGATGGAGTTAAAAGTAACTGCATCATTGGTTGTTAAAAGTAACTAACATTCTGGAGTTTCAGCTAGTTAATATTGTCTGGGTTGGTTGTTGATTTTTGGGGACAAGAAGGTGAATCCGTGTTTATCATTGAGTTACTTTTGCAGGTTCTTTTCCAGAATGATTCTCCAGCCAGTTTGCTTGCAAGGGTAATGGGAATCGTAGGATCTTTCGATAATGAAATGCTTACTAAGGGACGTGATTCCCACAAATACTTCACAAAAAACCGAATGCTCTACGAGAGGAACCAGGTTAGTGTTTTCCAGAGACCCCTAAATCCCAAAAACTCTGCAACTCTTAATGTTGAATGGAAGAAACATATGCTAATAAAGAACATTCTCTCTCAAAAAATTGGTTTGTTCAGGAAAGTAACAGACTGGAGTACCTGATACCGAAAAGAACTTCCTTGAGACATCGGCTTCCAATGGGAGACCAAGGATTCACAGACTTTGTGGCCCATCTTCTTGAGATAAACCCAAAGAAGCGTCCTTCTGCAGCAGAGGCTCTGAAGCACCCTTGGCTTTCATACCCATACGAGCCAATCTCTGCTTAAACAACTGGTGTCTTTACTTAAGCTACTAAAAGCCGCAAAACCGCAGGTTAATGGAAACCTCGTCTGTGCGAAGGTTGAAGCCCCTTTGGTGGGTGACCCTTAATACAAGTTGTGGCTGTCTTCTTCAGTCAAAATGTGAGCTGAAAAGAAGAAAAACTTTTGTGAAATTTGATTAGAGTGTAACACTGTGTCGTCAAACTTGTGATCATTATTCTCCTAGAACAGATTAAGTAGTAGAACTCTGTTTTTGTATCATCTGCTGATCCTTAGTAGTTTAGTCCTTCGATTGTGATTTATAAATGCTATTTATGTAATTTCTATATATACAGGGTATAATCATTTCAGGTGTCATATAGAAGTAAATTTCAGAGAGTGCTGTGCGTTAGAAACTCCTCTGGTGGTCTTTGTAAGGCTTGTGAATGCTATCATCAATGGAACATGAAATAACTCGTCCTCTTAGACTCTGTAGTGTCCATTGTTCTCTTTGTAGTTTATCTTTGTCTCTGTCTGTTTGTAACATCTTCCAATTCATTACCAAATAGTGACAACAACAACAACAACAAATATTCAATACCGTATAAATGATTTGTTGAATAATGGTTATGATCGGTTGAAAGAGTAAAACATTTGTTGATAATATTTAAATAGTATATTTTAGGGATTCAACTGGCTATTTTAACTGCTAGCTGTCTGACCTAATGGATACTTTTAGTAGTCTTTTGTTATAGATTAAAAATATATTCTCTCCGTCCCACAAAAATGAATTTTTTAGAAAAAAAATTTGTCCCACAAAGATAGCAGTTTTGTGTTTCCAATGTCAAATTTCAAACAGTTTACCTATTTTACCATTATTAAACAACCATAAATAATATACTCTTTAAAATATGTTAAAAGGTTAAAATTGTCATTATACATTATTTCTTAAAAATTATGAAATTTCTAAAAAAAATCTACTTTTATGGGACGGAAGAAGTATACATATTTAAGCGAAATCGCGTTTAAGAAATTAAAAATGTAAAAAAATGGTATGTCATTACATTTAAATATGTAAAAAATAGCAATATCATTACTTTTAAATTGAACTAAAATTTCGTATAAAATTTTAAAGAAAGCAAAATGAAATCATAATCATTGGATATGAGCAATATCATTGTAGACACAATTTTGCAATATTGGAAAGAAAGAACCCTAATTTTTTAAATTTAGGAATCTTTTTTAGTTTACCAGTGAATGTCCGAAATCATTACATCCATTGAAACCTCAACGTGCGTGTCTTCTCCTTTGCTTCTTCTTCTTCTTCGTTTGATCTGTAAGCGCATTTCCTCCTTCGCCGTACCTGAAGTTTCATCTCTCGTTGGATGCACTCTTATTGCCCCTTGTCTTCTTCAATTTGGTTTTTTTTTTTTGGTTCTCCGGATCTCCAGCTGTATTCGATGGCGCGTTTGGAGCATGATTTCTAAGGGTTTTTATTCAAGTTCGCATCTTCTGCATCATTCCGTATGAGCAAAAGTGAGTCTTGTTTGCCGGAAAAATCTTCTCTTGGCTTGTTTCTGAAATGTGACTGAAAGTATTGGTTTTGGGCAGATTTTGATTCTCCTATTTTGTTTTGGGAGAAAGATTCTTCAATTTGTTTTCGTATCAGACAACATCTGAACAGAAAAAAGTTTTCATCTTTTCTGTTGGGTACAGGATTGGTGGGATTTTCTTGCCAGTGGTTCTCCTGTCTATTGTGAAAGGTCAATAAATGACGGACCAAAGCTCTGTTGATGGGATTTTAGAGTTTCTTAGGAATAATCGTTTCTCTCAAGCTGAGGAAGCTTTGCGTCATGAGCTTAGTAACCGGTCTGACATTAATGGCTTTCTTCAGAAACTTAAGCTTGAGGATAAAGATTCACATGAAAATGAACTTCGCAGGTCAGGTTCTCGAGATAGTGAAGTCTCCAAGGAGCTGATTGTGAAAGAGGTAGACTGTGGGACTAGCACCAATGGGTCTGTTATCAAGTGGGAAAATGGTCCGGCTGCTGACAAACCGAGCAAGAAGGAAACGGTTGTATCAACTGAGATGAGCTTCACATTCTCCAAAAATTCGGGTGATGCTGCTGCTCTTGATGCGCATTCCTATAAATTTACTTCCGGAAATGGTACCTTGGAGCCTTATCGAAACATTGATGATAATAGTAGTAGTTTGGTGGATTCTTACGCATTCGAACAGTCGAGGCATGGGAATTTGGCTGATATCGATAAGAAGATAGTGGAAACTGGTGAAGATATCGTTTTCTTTGGCAATAAGAGTACTTTATGGTCTGGAAATTCTACTAAAGGGAATTCTAGTAAAGGGAACTCCGGGTCGAAAATAAAGGAGACAAATGAGATTGATCGGCTAGTTGAAAATTCTGAGAAGCATGACAGCTATAAGGGTAGCATTCTTTTAAGAACTGAAGATGTCGTAGATACCTCAGAGAACTGGAAAGAGTGTTCTGTTGATACTCTTTTTCAATCTTCCAGAGGGGATGCGTCAACCAGTTACAATCTGGTTAGCAGCTCGAACAAAAGAGAGGGAAAGAAAAAGGCAGACATTAGTGATGTGAGGGTGGCAATCAAGGAGCAGGAGAGCGAGGTGGCAAGAGCTTTATTCTTTGGTAAATCTCAATCCACTTTTGATGACAAAAACATCAGCAGTTTAGGTCTTCCACTTGTATATGATACCCGCAAGGAAGAGTTTCCTAGGCTGCCTCCTGTTAAGCTCAAGTCTGAAGACAATCCTCTGAGTCTTCACGGTGAAGAAAAATTTGAACGTGATGGTTCAGGTCCAAGGCTAATCAATGATGAGGAGGCCCTTCTCATAGGCTCATACCTTGATGTTCCCATTGGACAAGAAATTAGCTCATCAGGTTAGATTGCTTGATAATGTAGGCGTATAACTGCAAAGTTTCCATTCTAACTGCTGAATGATGGTTGTTCTATATGATAGTGCATGTGGTATCTTATTAATGATTTTGATCTTCCAGATGCATGCATTTTTCTCATATCCTTCATTCCCGTAGGAACTACTGTGGTTGTCATATTGCTACTCTGCAAATCTGCTGAAATAACGTGTTTTATTTTTGATGAATTCATGAATTAGAACAATGCATTGACAAATTACCAGCATCAGTTCCAAAGAAAGCAAGTAATGGTTTAGCATTTTGCATGTTAAAGTATCTGCAACTGTTTGCTCTCATTTTCTTCCTTTCCCACTCTGCTTTTTTTTTGAGTTCTGTAAGGACCATGTCGCTTCACTTTTTACTTTTTTTTAGTTTAACATGAGCCTTATCAGTTTTACTTCAGGTGTGAAAGTAGTTTTAATCTCCTAATTATCTCATATAGGTGGGAAAAAATCTGCTGGGGGAAACTGGCTTTCAGTAAGTCAGGGAATAGCAGAGGACGCATCTGATCTTGTTTCCGGTTTTGCTACTATTGGTGATGGTTTAAGTGAATCTGTTGACTACCGTAATGAATACTGGGACTCTGACGAGTATGAGGATGATGAAGACATTGGTTATGTCAGACAACCTATTGAAGATGAAACATGGTTTCTTGCCAATGAAATTGATTATCCAAGTGATCATGAGAAAGGAACGACCCGCGGAAGTCCTGATCACCATGGAAGAGATGCAAACAAAGACGAGGATGATCAGTCTTATGCCGAGGAGGCTTCTTATATATCTGGAGAACAGTATCTCCAATCAAAAGATGCTGAACCTATTTCTTCAGAAAATGACCGAAGACTTACGGTCTCAGAAATTTATCCAGCTAGCAAGAAAAATGATTTATTAGCCCAATATGATGGGCAATTAATGGAGGAGGAATTGCTCAATTCGATGCGTGACGAGCCTGTTTGGCAGGGGTTTGTAGCTCAGTCAAATGAACTTGTCACGTTAGGTGATAAGAAAGGCATAAATGTCCATCGAAAATCTCATCTTGATGATGTTTACCTCGAAAATGATCAGCATGATTCAGTCAGGTCAATTGGTGTGGGGATTAATAGTGATGCAGCTGATTTTGGCAGTGAAGTACGTGACAGTTTGGCTGGAGGTAGCAGTGAGGGAGATTTTGAGTACTCGCGTGATCATGATCCTGTAGCATCCAGGTTTAAACAGCTTTACTCCGAGTCAGATAAGAAACATATTGATGGCCCAAACAAGAATAAACAGAAAGCAAGTAAAAATGATGGTCCAGATTACATTGTAGATAATGATTCAAGCGGAAGTTTTCATGTGAAGATTCAAACTGATGGTGGTTTTTCGTTTGGTTCGTCACAAAAAGATGGGCAGTTAGCAGAATCTAGTAAATCATTATGGTCAGGCAATCGCGAAACAGTAACCAGAGATAGGAACGCCGAACGTTTGAGTGCTTCAACAGCTACGGATGATATGGTTGCAACTTGGAGACGAAAAAGTAGTGATTCGTCAAGTTCTCATAGTTCTGTGAAAGATAATAAAGCAACGTCTATAAAATCTGTAAACTCATCTCCCTCTTCTCTGTCAAATTATGCTTGCGAAGAAAGAAAGCATGCTGATAAAGAAGATGATAGAAATGATAGTAGTGAAGTAGGGGATGACAATGCGACAGCACTTGATGATGAAGAGGCAGTGGCTGTCCAAGAGCAAGTTAGACAAATTAAGGCCCAAGAGGAGGAGTTTGAAACCTTTGACCTCAAAATTGTGCATCGAAAAAACAGGTAAGATATCTCCCCAACTTTTATGGTTTGAACTATAACAGAAAGAAAGAAAGTAAGAAGTAAAACTGTAGATAGCATAACTAATTGAACTAACTATATTGCTTCTATTTTGTATTGTGTCCAACGTTGTTAAAATATATTTCAAGTTGATATATTCACTGTAATTACCTCGTGTTAGTTTTATATATAGCTTGATTGTTGCTCTCTTATTACTTGTTTGATATTTACCAGGACTGGTTTTGAAGAGGAAAAGAACTTTAACGTGGTTTTAAATTCGGTCATTGCTGGGCGGTACCATGTCACTGAGTACCTTGGATCAGCAGCCTTCAGTAAAGCCATACAAGCGCATGACTTACAGACAGGAATGGACGTCTGTATAAAGATTATAAAGAACAACAAAGACTTCTTTGACCAAAGTCTTGACGAGATAAAACTTTTGAAGTATGTCAACAAGCATGATCCTGCTGACAAATACCATCTTCTAAGGTTGTATGATTACTTTTACTACCGGGTAAGTGATCACATCCCTTCTCCAAATTTTTTTATTCTTGCAATGGTTAAGCTTCCCACGGTTGAATAACTTACTTATCTAATTCATGGTCATGGTTCATTTCATGGAGTCATTGGAGCT